TGGGGGTTGTCAAGCTTCGAAGACATATCCACTGAATCACATATACATTTATATCTCTATTTCACCATTTCATCTAGTGCATCATCATTTTTTTTTTGGGGGGGGGGGAGGAGTTGTGCAGGAAGTGTTATTAAATAAGTGCATGCACTGAATTTTTCCATGTAGCTCCTGTAATGTACAGTAGAGGACATAAGCGATGGGCTGCCCAGTAACTACAATGGCAGTTTCTTAATGCCTACATGTCTATCCACAGCAATTATTTGAGTCAATATTTTCTCCATATTTTCTCCTCCAGCTGTCACGACAAAATGTTACCGCCCGTGGAATGAGAGAGGATCATTCGACATTCCAGTGAACCGGTAGGTCTGAGGTGAATATTTATCTGAGGAAGCCGCGATATAAAGTCTCACCTAAGGAGGCAGGAAATGGACAGGATATTGAATTCTGAAAGATTATGTAACACTTCTGCAGGTAGCAAATGTTAAGAGTAAGCAGAATTCTTCGCCTGGGGTCACATTAAGTGATGGGGATTCAACACATGTGGCTAATAATTGGAGACAGACGGGAAAGCTATTTCAGGAGATCATAGCACACCGTCCAGCTGGGTGATTTGGGGGAACAAACAGAAAAGCCTAATTTAATTGAAATTTAGGGCAGTTTTGTTAACAAAAGCAGTTTTGTAACTACTTTTGTTAGTTTTCTCCCGGATAAAGGGACATGTTGTGTGATCATGAGCTGAAAACAGCATGAGTGAGTGTGTGTTTGTGTGTCAGTGCAGCGCTAATAGGAGTCAGGAGACCCTGTTTGGCTCCCAGCACTGAACACTTATCAGGAGCTACTGGATATTACATCGTGTTCTGTACCTGAGGGCTGCAGGATACAAGTCAGGCTTGCAAAAACAAGCATACACACACACAAACCCGACTACAAGCAAGGAATGCAGTACTCTTATTCAAGGATTTACACATGCCATTTCTGTTTCACTTGTACTCAGCACCAAAAACAAATCCCTCTCTCCATGTTTTGCAGATAAACGCCCAGCACCTCCAGCTGTGGCCAACTGGGTGGCTGAGATCAGAAGCAGAGATATCAGTGTAAAGCCTGATGAACTCTTCACTAGACCATAATTACGTCCAATTCTCTTAGATCACTGCTCATGAAAGTTTGCACGTTCCTGTTACAGGAGAAGTGCCTAACCACCTAACATTAATACTAAGGTTGCATTAATCTAAATTTTTGTGCTATAATGTTTTGAATTCCATTATTTATATATCTCATTATTTCACCGCAAGTGTTCAAGTCCATAAAAAGTTTGGCGCTGTCTGTTTTATGATCTCGTTCAGCTCTCTGTTTACACAGCAGGAGCATTTATGATGAAATCTGTGATAACAAACTGAGTTTATCTTTAAATGAATAGCCCTAAATTTACCAACAAACAATGATGTTATTTCACAGGGTCACATTAAGGCCATCAATTCCAACACTGCTGCTGAGAAAATGTGTTTTCTCATGTCAAAATAGCACCGAGTGCCACACCACCCATGATGCCTACAGCCTAGGAGTGACTCACTTTTGGAGCTAGCCTTGAGTGGCCATTAGATGAACTACAGGCCAAGAGGTTGATACCAGGCTGAGCTTCTGCCATCAGGAGAGGTCAAATTTATCCACAACACTATGTTTTTCCTCATTCTGATATTTGGCAATAACAGTAATTATCTGAAGCTCCTGACTTGCATCTCCATGATTACAGGCATTGCCCTGCTGCCGCATGATTGCCCAATTAGATAACTGCATGAGAAAGCTGTAGTACAGGAGATCCCAGTAAAGTGATCCATGGCTATCTGTTGTTGTTATTAGACCCGTAGTCGTATTTGTTGTCCCACAAAGAAGCTTTCAGTTCTTCAGCTGAAGTAAAAGACTGCACCAAAATGGAACTGTTAATTACAGTTTGCTGCAAATGTGTTAACCGGTTTGTTTTGCAGGTGAACAAAGTTAGTCTGTTGTGCCCTCGGTGGCTGCCTCCAAGTGTTATCTAACCACAACAACTGGATCCGACAGTTGGCCGGAGGAAACAAGGGGAGTAGTGTTTGTCTCAGAGGGGAGACTGAGGGGAAATTCTGCTCTCTGTTTAAATCACTGTCATGCTGTAATTCTCTGCAACAGAGGGCAACGCTGTATGTTGTGCTTGTGTTTGAATAACATGCAATTTTTCTTTCCTATATGGTGGTTCATGTTTGTGCGATTGCGTGCATGTGAGGGCAACACACACACACACACACACGTCATTATTCTGATATTGCACACCAGTTGTTTTTTCCCCCTCATTCTCCATTATGCCGCCTCTATCCATGAATAAAGGGTTTGTTTGGATTTTCCTCCGGCTTTCCGCTGTTCAGTGTCACCCTGGTTTTGCTCTCTGTTTCCTGGCCTGGATACACAGCTGATTTCTTTTTTCTTTCTTTTTTTTTTTTACCTTAGCTTCACAAAGGAAATTATTTCTGACTAGCAGAGATGGGGGAGGAATGACAAACTAATATATCCTACATCTGAACCCGCACAGTGCAAACCATTTGAGTTCCAATATGCTCAGGCTGCTGCCAACACTTTGTTTCCACTGCCTTCTACAACTGTACAGTGAATCCTTATAAATGTCTGTGGCTATTCTGTGAGATATTCAATAACTGATACGGAGGATTAGAAAACTTTTATGTGGGTTCACATTCTGCCAGAAATTCAAATCTTTCCTTACTACGCAGGGTATTTAAAGTGCAAAGCATACTAAGGTTATATCAGAGATCTTATATGATATCATAGCACAGCAACTGCTGTAGATCTACCTAATAAGAATACAGGCAGGTCTCAGATCTACATGTACTATCTCTACCACCCATATCTTTACAGTTTTACTCAGATGGCATTTTAAATATATGTCACTGGGTGTTTCCTTTCCTTTCCTAGTTCTTCAAGGTTCTTGAAGAACAGTCAAAGCTTATTGAATGTCCGCTGCCTTTTGTTCTGCTCTCTGTCAAGATGATCCCACAGTGTTCCAATACCTTTGAGATCTGAGCTCTGGGGAGCCCGGTTGAGCAACGATAGTGTTAATCCTTTGTTTTTTCTATTCAGATATGCTTTTTACTGCATTGGCAGTGTGTTTGGAATCGTCGTCATGCTGAAAAATGAAGCTTAAAATCTGATTGTCATAATTTCATCAGTTTTGAAAAAATTTCAAATGCCACTGACTTAAATGCAGCCCCAAACCACGACACAGACTCCACCATGTTTTACAGATGGCTGTACACACTCACTGTGGTACCTCTCTCCTTACATCCTCTGTACTCCGACAAACCAAAATTTTCACATTTGTATTTAGCAAACCTGCTGCTTTCATTTTGTTCTTGTGTAGTTTGGCTTCCTTTCCTTAAGAATGGCTTCTTGATGGCCCTCAACTCTGAATTTATACACATGTACCAGGAATCATATGTACATCTCATTTTCTGTATCACTTTTTCAAATGTTCTTATCTAATACTTTCCCAGCTTAGTGAACACACTTATGAGCATGATTTTATTCTTCTGATGATAATTATGTGGAAGTTTCAGTAAAATCTGACCAATACTGTAGAAATATTGATTCTTGTGAAAAAAATGGAAATGTCCCCATAAAAAGAGAGATGTAACCTTGACCAAGAGCACAGTTTGGATGAAGACCCATTAGGGGATCAGTGTGTGCAAGTTTTATTGTGAACTGTGACAGAACGGACAGATGACAGATGCTTTGCCATGGCATCAGCTCATCGGTCCTTCAACTGGATGAAATAAGAAGGGGGAATTACACTGATGATGTGGGCAAACCAGGTTATTCCCCGATTATCACCCTTCAGGACCGAAGCGACAGACGCCACAGATCTAGTTCATGACTGGCCCTTACTAATGTGAACACAAAAATAAACCTAATGATAACACATACACATGTATTGTATATGGCTCTTCCATCAATAGATAGATGAATAAATAAAGACTTTAATATCGTTTTATAAGGGTTTAACAATAATAACAAAAATAAAAAGATTACAACTTCTTCTGCTATTAATTTAACTGGCATTTCATTTCATTTCATTGTAAACTGTCGCGGTGCTCCAGTTTCCATCCTCGCCTTGACATCCCTCTGAACACACCACAGTTCCACTACTCTTCTTTTTCCTAGTAACTCAATACAAGCAGAGACTTTTACGCACGCAGGTGCGCACAGACACACACGCGTACACACACAAAGCAGTGTGTTTACCCCTTTTAAAAAAGGTTGTCAGAGCATATCACATCAGCAAAGTCAAGCTTGCATGCTCAGGAAAGTGGAAGGAGTGGTCTAGTTCTGCTTCCAACACCAAACGCTCAGCCAACAAAACAAATCAGCAAAGAAAAAAAAAAAAAAAAAAACACAGGAGAGGGTTTACAACTATTTATTCAATTTGCAATTGAGGGATGGAGATGGGGCTGAATTCTCCTAAAGCACAATGTAATTTCCTGGTGGATGTTTGACCACAAAGTGAGACCAGAGTTGTTGTGGAGAGACACGCTAAAGGGTATGAAGAAAACGAGCGTTGTTTTGGCGAGGGGAAAGGGGTGAAAGAGAGGGCTAACCATTTTTTTCTTGTGGCCTACGGTATGAGGACAATTCATAGGCAGCATGAGGAAATTGCTTGCTTGCGTATAGAGAATTAGGGCCTTAAAAAGGTTGTGGCATGTAACCACAACCTGCAGAAAATATTGTGCAATCTATAGCTGGCATAATATGTCCATATGTTTACGTCAATGCAGAAATGAGAAGCTGGAAAAGAGGTGGCCTGTGTGGCTGAGCTGATTGAAAATTGTTAAAAGGCTGCCTTCAATAACATTCACTGCTGACAGTTTAGCCCTAAACTGTGGGTTCAGGCAGCCAGTCAATATAGGGCCAGCCAAAGATCAGAGCCCATGTACGAAAAAGGACGGCAGAGGCCAACTCACCTTCTTCTTGCTGCAGTAGATCTGCCATTTCTTCTCATCGGGCAGAGCAAACATGGCCTCCCGGTTCTTGTCTGTCAAATCCAGCTCATCCTGCAAAAAACAACAACAAAGAAAGAAGGAAAAAAGTTTGTTTTTGTTTTGAATTCAAAATTCAAATTTTATTTGTCACGTACACAGTCATACACAGTACGATATGTAGTGAAATGCTTGGACAACTGCTCGTGACCTAAAGAAAACGAAAAAGGAAAAGGCTATGAATAAGATAGGAAATAAATATGAAAAATTAAAAAGGGTAAATTTAACTAGGAAGGAATAAAATATAAATTAAGGTTAAAAATGAAATAACTGTACAACACAAATTAGAATGAAGGGTAAATTTAACTGGGAAGGAATAAGATAAAATATATAAATTAAAGTTGAAAATAAAATAACTGTACAACAAAATACACAATATAGAACTATATAAGAATGTATGAAGAAATATAAATAAATATATACACAATAACAGCAGCTGTACAAGTATTAACTGGAAATGAAGAATATAATGTCCAGTGTTGTGCAATCCACATTATGTCTTGTGCAGTGCAAATATGCTTGGAATAAAATATCCCTGGAATGAATTTGATGCTACTGATATATTTCAGTAACAGGGACAGTGGCATGCTTCCCACTACATGTCATCACATCTTCTTACCCTATGAGTGGGAACTGAGGAGACTATTTGCTGAAGTTCTTTAGCCAAATTTCCCCCCATTCAATTTGACATAGTATTTCAGCTGCTTCTTTTTATCACAGTTTTTATCACAGCCAGACTTTTTTACAAGCAAGTATGGATTGCAAGTAGTTTAGAACTTGAACTCCTTTAATGAAGAGCCATGCATGTTGGAATACAAGCAGAAGGTTTTGTATAGTCTTGCTGAAATCCAGAATGTCTCAAATACACAATGTCATCCCTGAAAAACACATCACCTGGATGGGCAGCCATGTAGCATTAATGGTGCCTTCACACATTTACAAGTTACTCATTCAATGTGCATAAACACCCACCCCCACCCCATACAATCATAACGTACACTTTGAATTGTAAGCTAATAACAAGGCTCTGCTTCTCTTCAGCATCTTTGACTGTCAAATAGAATTTAAGATTCTGGTTGGTCAGACTAGAGGACAGTTTTCCACTTGGCCTCCACCTCAAATGAGCTCAGGCCCGAAACGAACCTCAAATGAGCTTCCATGCTAGAGGTTGACATTGCATTTGCGGATGTAGTGATAAAATGTGATGGTTTGCAATACAGACATTTCTAGCCTTTATTGCCTTGTTGTTTTGTTCTAGTATCACATTTAAAAATACTTTCCAAAATATGGCAGCAATGTTTTTCCCCCCCAGTGTCAACATTTGATGTTCTTGAAGAAAACAAACAAGAACTTCCAAATGATTTGCAAACTATTGTGTTCCTTTTTTTTTTTAACATTCACCACAGCACACATCCCAACATTTCAAAACAGGCTCGTGTTTTTATTGCAGCTCATCAAGAATAAATGTGCAGAAAAACAGTGATTAAGAATAAACAAACATAACAGCCCAGTAGCATTTAAAGACTGACATAATATAATCAACCCGTCCCTCAGGACACATTCCTAGAAGCCCTGTTGTTTCCTTATCCCTATAACAACACAGACATTTAAGCAATGAGTCGAGTTTACACAGCCACATTTAAATCTCCTTCCCACAGACAAGTGTTTTAATATTCATCCTGCTGCTCTACTCAATTCTTCAGCTCAGTACAAGGAGCCTCCTGCACCTTTTGAAATGCATATGAGCCCAGGAAATGAGTCTCTGTGTGCCAGGGGAGGAAAAGTTTAAAGGAAGGGGAGTCAGATGAAGGAAGGACGCAGAAAGAGAAATGCATTCGGGTTAGAGACCCGGAGGCTATGTGGCTCTGGAAATGGGCTGGCACAGAAAAGACAACTAGAGGCTACATCACCAGGGCTTTGTGCTCCGGCTCAGACTAATCTCACCATAATAGTTTTGCTACGATGACGTAAACGAGAAGAGGGCGAGCCTCCTGGGGCCCCTGGAATGAAGATGACCACCAGTGGCAGAGGTGGGGCCTCTTTAAAGCCGACCAGCAGATTCGCAGGGTTTGCTTTCATCGCTTTTCAGCAGGACGGGCTGAGGTGGCCCGCATTCCAAGAATCGGACACTATGAAGGATGACATCATCTCTCGTCCTTTCAATGGGCTAACCAGCAGTAGCATTATTGTGGGTTTGAGAGGAAAAAAAAAAAAAAAAAGGAAAATCCGATGGGTGTGAATTTCAAGAGGGTCTATTACAAGTAGAAACCACAATGAAGCCTTAGAATCTTTAGTTCAAGTGGCTTTCATCTCAGCAGCATGATTCACACCCAGAGCTCATCATCGTGGGTCTACAGGGCCGGCTGTATCAAGGGGGAAGCTCACCCCAAAATCTGATTTACATATTTGTCCTCTGGTCTGTAGCACACTCTACCCGTATGTATTTTTTATTTTATTTTATTTATTTATTTGATGATTAATTGCATCTACCTTGTGAACAATGTCACAGAGTGACAAGTGTGGAGACCTGACAGTCACATTCACACTTACGAGCAATTTTGAATCACCAAAATGCACGTCCTTGTGCCGTGCAAGTACAGGGAGACTACAAACTCTAAACAGAAAGAGTCCCAGCTAAAATCAAAAAACATTACTCACATTTAAATAAATGGCTTAATTTGCTATTACATACATTAAAAAGAAAAAATATTTTTTCATTTGTAAAATGGGACATAAATTGATATTTCTGTCACCATTTGGGTCTTTATTCGTTAAGCAGACACAAAAACAAGTGTGGAAAGGAAGAAACCATGGGCTACAAGAAAGCAGCTCATTCTGGCCTGCCGCCTGCTCGCCGGGTCAAAGCCCTGCTGTCCAAGCTGTTGGTCTTTGGAGGAGCTAATGCAGAGAGCCGGTGGGGAAATCATGAGAATGAGACCCGTGGATTTGAACCAGATGGCAGTTGAGCCTGTCTCAGTTCATAGCTGACCTCTGTGCTATTTTGTGTTCTCCGTATAGACTCCTCAGGCCTCTCAGTTTAAGGTCTTATATGGAAAGAAATTATGTGAGAAGAGCATAGATTACAATAGTATTCCATTTAAATATAATTCATTGATTACATAAGACTTTATGAACAGGATAATGTTGACTTCTCAGGCTCTGCCGGTGCTGTTCTGCGTCAGAATCGAGGAAAAGGGAAAAAGAGATGAAGTTGAAAATGAGGACATCGACTGGGTGTAGGAATGTTCATGTCATGCCAGCTGTAAGGAGGACTTTTCACTTTCCAGTTATGCAATTTCCCATCGTGTTCCCCCCCTCCATCACCTTTAAAATGTGCTCCAATACCACATCCACATCACATGGCATCTCCTGACCAGTACAACACCCAAAGAGCATGCGGTCCCTTTCTCATTTTTCCAAAACAAAACCAAACTACTTTCCACTTCATGAAGTACCCCAGTCTTCTCACTCCAGCAAGCTTCAGTTGGAAATTCAATAAAAGCAAAGCTAATATTGTTACACCTGCTGTCTGAGAGGGGAAAATACATACCTAAGGCCTCCCAAGCCCTTCTTTCATATTTCACCCCGAGCTCCCCATCTAATAATATGACAAATTTATTTATTTTTTAAGAAGTGCTACAGTTGCAATCTCCGAGTGTCATGCAGGCATGCAGACAGATAGCTCTGTCACTCAATTTCCTGTTTCTAAAGACTGTTGAGCTTCTCAAATGTCCTGAGATAAAATGAAAAGGAGTGGAAGTTCCCAGACAGTTATTCAAAGCAAAACTATTTCCATATTCAGCATACAAATGAAGAAAACTGGATTTTTAAGAGCTGCACAATGAGAACAAATATAGAAACAAGGCATAAAAAGGACAGAGTAAGGTGCAATGAACGAACAGTTCCTTCACCATAGATGTCAGGTGACATGACATCTGGATCACAGCTGCTGTGACCCATAAGTTAGCCAAGTCTAACTAACAGTTTTTGCTATCATCATCATGGTGCTTTGAATCCAGATACCATGACAGCAGGGCAGAACCGACTGTGTTATCGAGGGACACTGAATGCTCACCCTGTGTAGCCTCCTTCATCCTTTAAAGGTGACCATGGGACAAAATGCAAGAGTGCAGGTTTTCAGGCACTTCCACACTTTTCAGGCCTGGAAAGAGCACCTGAACCATGCCTATGTGTTGCAGTGATCTACTCTGTAGCCTGGTCTTTTTCGGCAAGGTGTGCATTAGCTTTTAGCTAACTAATCATAGCTAATGAAGGCAATGACCTTTGCTTTAATAATCATTTCATTTCCCCAGTGGCAGCATTATTTAAACATCCAGATATGAATATGAATATAGCAGTATTTTATTTTATGACATCAGTATGAGAGGAGAGAGTCTCCAGAAAATATGTAAAATGTAATGTGTAAAATGGATGTAAAGTAGATTTCAGTGTTTTATGGGGATTGCAAACACCCAAACTTCCTGTCTACTCAGTTTCCATGCCAGTCATGTAATGGAACAAATGAACTTAATTAAAAGGTATTATTTAAATCGTCCTAACCTTAAACTGACAACAACACAACTATTCCTTTAAAAAACAAAAAACAAAAAAAAAAACAGATTAGGAGTGATGCACAAACTTAAGCGAGCCTAAAGCAAATAGATGCAGAAGGTTTTCCAATACTGCCAGCAATCGTAATGATGAAGATATCTTTAAACATTTGGAACATATCGAGACTTCTACAGCAACATAAAATTAATTTGTATGAAATAACACACGTCAGATGATTCAAACACGTCTGCAGGGACTTTGAATTATTTATCTCCACCATATGGGAAGAATGTAAAATAGGACAGAGGGATGAGTCATGCGATTGAAGTCTAAGCTGTGAATGAAACTATGAAAGCCGTACCGCTGCAGGAGAGAACATTAAGTGAAGAGAAATTAAGTGTGGGAGTGGAGGCAGAGGGTACAGACAAGAGAATGGGAGCGAAAAAGGTAAGGAAAGATATTTT